TAAAAATAACTTACTTTATCATTTGCACTATATAAACTAAATTATACTCTCGCATTAAGCTTAAAATGAACAGTCGTGCATATTTAACAATAAGCCCATCTTTAAGAAAAATATTTGAAATATTGTTTTGTATTATATAGAAAGACTGTTCTCAGTTCCTACACAAAGTCTACTCATACAGTCTGCACCAACATTTGCAGTCACCTTGATGACCTCAATGTAGAACTGATAGTTCTGGAGGTACATCTCTGGATGTATATAAGAGGCTGATGGTCGGTTTAGATGCTGAATTCCTTCACATAGAGGTAGTTCTGGAACTTTCAGATGACAAATATGATGGCCAAACACTCTCGTTCAATCACAGAGTAGTTTTTCTCACTACTCAACAGCTTTTTACTTTCGTACATTACAGGAAACATCCGTATTTATGTGCTTCTAGGAGTAGTACTGCTCCAATTCTAATGTATGAAGCATCGGCCTGGACAATGAATGGTCTGTAGAAGTCCGACAGTTTACGCATTGGAAAAGTTCCTAACATGTTCTGGAAGGCCATCTGCTGTGTTTTTCCATTTCATATTGTTGGGTAGGCCTTTCCTTGTCATATCAGTCAGTGGTGCAGCAACTTCAGCGTAGTTTGGGATGAACTTCCTGTAATATCCAACTAAATCCAGAAACGATCTGACTTGCTGTGTGGTCATTGGAGCTGGTGCATCTTGTATATGGGTTAGCTTCTCTTTTTACACGGCAATTTGTTGGCCACCCACCTTGTGTCCAAAAAAGCCCAGTTCAGAATAACTGATGTAGCATTTAAATGGTCTGATGGTCAGTCTTGCTGCCATCACTCACCCAAACAACTCACTGAGTTTCTTCAGGTGGTCTTCTCATCTGGCTGTGTGGGTCAGAATGCCGACCATATAATGCTCGATGTTGGTGGTTTTGTGTAATATCTTCCTGATCATGCAGTTGAATATTCTTGCTGAGTTGACTAGCTCAAATCGCATCCTCTTGAACTGGGTCACAAAGAGAAGACTCTTTAGACTGTTTCCATTGGGATCTACCAATATCCTTTACTGAGGTTGATCTTGGAAAGAAACTTGACACAATATAGTTTCGCCATAATAGCCCCTGGTTTAACCATAGGTTTGGAGTCAAACTTCATTACAAGATTCAGCTTCCAGAAATCTATGGAGAAGCAGTTTGAGGCATCCCTCTTCTTTACGATTACCATTGGTGAACATTGGGCTGCATTCGAAGGCTCGACGATTCCAACTTCTAATATTACCTCGACTTCCTGCTTGATTAGTGTCTCATTGCACAGAGAATCTGGTAGGGCTTCACTTTGACTTGATCTCTGGTCGTGGTCTCGATCTTGTGTTGCCCAAGATCTGTGTTGCCTAGTCTATCTCTGAAGATATCTGCTCACTGAAATATATCTTGTAGCTCTTTCTTCTGTCTTCTAATCAGTTCTTCATTGATGTTGACATCTTTGTATGTCTCATCTCCACCCAGTGATCTTAGGTCTTCTAAGACAAAGTCACTGTCTTCTGGTTCTGTATCTGTGACAGCTACACTTACTATATCCTCAGTAGCTGCACCCATTAGGCCTTCTTCCCTCTCAACGTACCTATTCAACAGAGTGGCATGGTAGATCCTGGTCTTCCCACCCATTTTCACCTTATAGTCCATTCTGTTTACCATTTTCTGGACTTCAATGGGTCCTTTCCACTGCAGGGTGAGTTTGTTGTTGTTTGTAGATAGCAGAACCAAGACCTTCTGTCTAACCCTGAAATATCAATCCTTGGCCTTCTTGTCATAGAAGTGTTTTGACTGCCTTGAGCTGCATACAAGCTCTCTTGACCAAGTTGACAGGCCTCCTCCAGTCGGAGTTTGAGGTCTAACACGTACTGGTATGTGTTCCTCACTTCTGACTCTTCTTCTCCTTCTGTCTATAGCTCTTTCAATGTCTGCATTGGACCTTGTATTGTTCTTTGTACAGCAATATGAAGGGTGAAAATCCTATACTTACTTGTGGGACTTCTCGATGATCAAATAATACTGCCTACAGGTACCTGTTCCAATCACGTGGTCTCTCTTGGCACATATTCTTCATCATACTCTTTAAGACTCTGTTGACACTCTCACAAAGTTCATTACATCTTGGGTTGTATGGGGCAGTAAAAAGTTGCTCAGTGCTGAGGAGTTTGCAAACCTCTTGCAGCAGTTCTGAGGTAAACTGGGTCCCTCAGTTACTCAAACCTTCTTTTGAGAAGGCTACTCTGTAGAACACTTTCAATGCTGTGGCTTCTGAGTAACGTGTCACATAGTTGACTAATTTTAGCACATACTGGTTGCCCTTGTCAAATACTGGTGCTAGTGGTCCAATCAAGTCCACAGCTACTCTACTGAATGGCATTTTTATGAGAGGCATCTCATCCAGTGGTACCTTGGCTATCTTCCCTCTAGGTGTTGTCCTTTAAGAGATGCCACATGACTTGCATAACCTGGTCAAATCTACAATGACCCCCAGCCAATGGAAGTTGCTGGTGATTCTGTTTGCCATCTTCTTTGTTCTGAGGTGCTTTCCTGCAATCGACTTGTGAGTCAGCTTCATCACTTGAGTCTGGTATTCTGTGGTACTATGATCTGTTTATCTTTT